AGTATATTAAACTTTATATAATGACAAAGACGATCTTGCTAAGTTCAGGAGTTTACTTGGATTAAATGATCTCAGATTCCATTCACGGTGTAACCTAACGGTTGTTCTAAGTTGTTAGTATGGCATAGCTGACGGTCTAGCGGTGATCTAGCGGTTTTATTTCCGATGGTCGCAGGTTCAATTCCTCGTACAATTCCAAAATTTGTATTCACTATTTATGTAATTCTTGCAGTATATATGTTTAAAAATGTCTGTATGCAGGCTGTATCTGAATATACTGGACATAAATATATTTAATATTGTTAAAATCTATAAGCACTGTATTCTACATATAGTTGATTTGATTTGATTTTATATATTGCGGTACTGCCGCCCTTGTACCAACTACTATTGTTTAAGAATTAGCATCTAATCTGTTTTGTTCTTTTCAGATGCCGTCGTGATTTGGAGACATCTTAAAGGGTACGTTGAATGTTTTTTAATGTTACCAAAGTTATAATACCCTCAACAGTCGGTAGTCACGAGGATCCAACTTAAAAATAAAACAAGAATATAATCATCAAAATGTGTTTGAGTACAAGAGTATCTAATTTTATATTGTTTAGTTTAGCTTCTATGCTTTCGAGGTAATAAACTGGATATGTGAGTTTAAATATAGATCTGATGAAATTACGGATTAATTAAGATTCCTAGTGTCCGAAGTATGGTGGTATTATTGACTAAAATGATTTAGTGTTATATACTATGTTACGACTTTATAATTATAGGTACTAGCCGACCCGACAAACGTTGTTTTGATATATAAATTAATCAATTATTTGTCGACCGCTTTGAAAATAAAATATTAATATCACTATTAAAAACCAAATTAATTAAAAAATAGGTTGTAAGTACCCCTACTTACAACCTAATAGGAGTTGATGGCAGAAAGAAAAAAAATTGTATAGTCCAAAAAATTGTGGTCAATCACTCATTTAGGACTATGAAAAGTAGTTTACGTCCTATTTTCAGATCTACTGAATATACACAAAATTTTAGAAGAATCGGTCAAGCCGTTTCGGTGGAGTTTTGACACGAAAATTGTATACTAAACTAGTTGTACTAAATATATGTAGATTTTTGTAAAAAGTGTAGTGAAAAATTGGTGAGGCAGATGATTTAAACTAAGCTGCTTGCTTAGTAAGCTAAATAAATATTCGCTTAAAGAAATTCAAATCATCACCAACTAACATAGGCTATATTTAATAGAATAATAAAGGTTCTACAATACTTGTACTTGTATAAAACAGCGTCAAATCGTCGAGTTCTACATGAAATCATTATTATGGTTGGCTAACGATTGTTGTGAACCGACTTAAATTCCTTCACAGTCAAACTTGAAATATTCTTGCAAAATTTCAGCTGCAAACATCAAGCAACGGAAATTGAGTGCCTCAGGCATCGGCCATTATATTCTGTATTAACTTAATGGCTTATTTTGTTGATTCTTTTTTTATAAACGATGACACCATTATATTTAGCGCTTATTGATCGTGGTCTTTATCGGGAGGCGTTTGATGTTTAACCTGCTTTATACAAAGTACGTTTACCAAAAGCTTTTATCCTTAAGATTACTTTTTGCGATGTTTTTATGTTCAATTTACCATTAAAGATTGTGTAATATTTTTTGAGGATATTGGGTATTGTATATTGTAATTTAAACACTTGTGGGGATTGGTCTGTTCGGGGTACAAACACTGATTAGACTATTTGCTTTTGACAAAATTGCAATAGCATATGCTGGTCACTATATTGTCCCAAATTTGAATTTAAAAATAAATCTGTATTATTGTAAGTATGTACACAATCTTGTTTGAAAAGAATAAGAAGAAGAAAAATAACGGGCTGAGTTTCTTAGCAATCCTTCTCAACTCGAAAACACTCCGACCTGATGGTAAATTTAACATATCATCATCATACAAGGAATCGAACTTGCAACGATCAGAAAACATAGTTAAGTCGATAATTGTAACATTTTTTATGCGCATAATCTTTATTATTATATTTTTATCTGAAAATCAAACAAAGTCGCGAATAACAACCAGTGCTATTATAAATATTACGATATTAAGAGCTTAAAAGCAGATAGGGCTCATTTAGAGTATTTGTTCTCAACTAATATTACTACTACTAAATTGAGCGTACAAGAGCTCATCCGAGAAGTGAGCGGCTCTTAAATTATGAATGATAACATTAAATATAAGAAAAAAATATTTGGTTATTTAGATAGTAAAAAAATACATAACTTATTTTAAAAATACATTTATATAGACGACCTCGGTGGTCTATTGGTTTAGCACACCGCTTTACTTCCAATTGTCGAGGGTTCGATTCCTCGCACGGTTTGTATCGGTCTGGGTGTTTTCTACGTATAATATGTATGTATTTACATAAACACATAAATAATTTACATAAATACAAAATATATTTATATATTTGTATCAGTTGTTTAGTACCCATAACACAAACTTTAGCTAGCTTAACTTGAGACTAGATGACGCCTGGGATGATTATTATTACTATTATTATAGACGATTTATTTTAGTCGCTTTGCCTTCAAATATACCTAGTGAAATATGGACTTGTCAAGTGGTACAGTACTACGTTGAGAACTGACAATGCCTCAGTAACGTGGGCCATATTTTGATTTTAAAAATAAAAGGATCCCTGCAATCAACCCAGGCAGTAATGATAGTATATTCGATTGAGCTAAAATATACAATTAACTTGTATCTAATGCTACACTAATAAATAAACAAATACCTTAACGTTCATGTTTAATTCAATGGAGATTAAGTTAAAATCTTGGTTTCTTATAAAATTTGTTGCCGGCACGTATTCTTTGAAACACATAATTTTGTCTCTAATTAATCAGAAAAAGTGTAGACAGAAACATTTAAATCAACGTCACACAGTGTCGCGTTTGCATCCCATAGATTAACGTTCGTGGAAACAAATCCATTTAGAATACTGAGGCTCAATGGAGTGACTATGTCAAGACGGCAAATTTGTTTTCTTCGAACTTTACAAAAACCATAGATTTTAAAATTCGAATTTCGAAAACAGAACGCGTTTATTAACTGCCAGTCCGATATGTTAAAACAGATGTTCCGCCTTGGCGCTTGACGGATGGGTCAGGCGAGGTCGGCCGCCATCTTGCAAGATTCCCGCCAATCGCTGCGTCCCCAGGGTGCCTGTCAACGGAACAGCGAAACAATTACCGGGATCGTGACTTTGTAAACAAAGCAGGTTAAAGCATTCAAGACGGTGTAATTAAAGAAAGATTCTGTTTAAATAAGCTTAGGCTTTCAAATAACAGAGATATTATTACGGAAATCATCCGAGTGCCTGCCGTCTGTTTTTGGCGTTTAAAAGTCAACTTAATTCCTGCTCTAGAGATTACGGTGGAAATCAAATTAGGTAGGAGGAACTCCTAAAAACTGTAGCAATAAGGCTTTTTTAAGATATAATAAAACAAATAAAGAAGTAATCGCGGCTTCGCAATAAAGAATGGGAACTAAAAATGGAGATTTTAAAATAATTATCAAACTTTTACGGCCTCAAAACGGTTGAGGTAACATTAAGTTATTAAAACGATATATCGGCAAACATCTCATTAGGCTACACGTAATAATTATGTCAGGTCAAAACCGAGACAGCTTCCAATCATTTCGATATGCACCTGTTGCCGCTCGGCTCTTCTCGTTTTTAATGAAGACATTTAGTTCCTTCGCAGGTGTTCGTGACTTCTGATCCGAATCAACCTCTATTATGTTATTTCAATCATGGTGCGCTTTGTTTTCTTCTATAGTTTTTTGTGCGTCCCGCAAATAACTTTATTGTCCCTGTTACAATTTATTGCGGTACAAAGGTGCATAATAAATTGTATCAGTCTGTTAACAGATGTATGTAATTAAGTTGTAAAGTTTGTATTGTTTTTGTTAGTATGAAAGGAAATTCGATTGAGGTTAAGTCAAAATGATATTATATTTCTCTAAACAAAAGAGAAATAAAATTACATAATTAAATTCTATTTTTATATTTTATCACATTTATTAAAAAAAATAGTCAACAGCATAAACAGATGTAATTGTGTTTATATTTTTGACCGAGTTTCTAACTTGGAATAATATTATTTTGCTTTTTAAATTTCTTACACTCATTGAGTTCTACTCTGAAAAAGAAATGTCATTAGTACAGTTATGTAACTGAGTGTAAAAATAAGTCGTAATACAAACGTGTTAAAAATCAAATTATATTGTCACTCCCATTTCAGCACCGACAAGTTAGAAATAAAAGACTTGGACTGCTATAAGATAATACATGAGATTTCGATAGAAGGTTCTCTAAATTCGCACAAGCCACTATAGACTTTAACCTTAATCAGTTAGAGTTTTATATCTCGGGAAGTCCATTTCTCCGATCGGTTTCACAAAATAAAACTTATTGAATGATCTCTGATTAGATGATTATCAAAGCAGGGTTGCATTGGATCTTGGCTGTTGTACGAACATTTTATATGGTAATTGAATTGTAATATAAGCATTCGCTTTCGAGGCTTCATTATTAGTGGTTTATTGCGATCGGTATCAGTAACATGAGTACTGGCAGGCGTGAGTTGTGCGCTAACATCGTATCTCAGATACAAGTATTCAAGAATAATTATAATAAACATGGTATCGATTACATAATTTTAATAAGGTGAAAGTCACCTTATAAGAAAACATTTCGAACAGACCAAAGCGTCTCACAGCAAAAAAAAAAGGACAAAAGAGCGGCAGATGCGTCCAGACCTGCACAATTAATTTTATACATTTATGAAACGTCTCTATCCAGAGGAAACCATTTCTTCGAAGATTTGACGCGTTATAAATTTTTGTGTGAATGGTTTTTATAAAGGGTGGGACCCATTCGCCATATGCCGGTGTGATGTTTTATTCAGTCTCGCCTTGTTGCTGTGGATGACCAGTGGTTTTTGTAGTTGCTCCTCGCTTCGCTTTGCGGTGAAATATTAAACGTATCTACTGTCTATTCGGTTGATTGTTTTGTTGGAAGTGTTTGTTAGTGATCTCGAAATTAACATTTAGTATTTAATGCAGTTTATATACTAAATCGCAAGTGAATTTAAAGTGTTTTTTAATAGTGCAATTTGATATAGTAAAATTAGTTTATTTAAAATGTTAGTGGTTGTGAGTGTAGTATGTATTTTTAATTGTTTGTTTGGAATAAGGAAATAAGTAAGTTTATTTATGTATTATATATTTTTTATATTATGAAATATGAATAATATAAATATTTTATATATAAATAATATAATTCTTGTAGGTTATAACAAATATAAAGTATAATGAAAATAGGTATAACATCAATGTCCTACATAGACTTGACTGAATAAATATACTTTTAGAATTTTATTTAAATTTTATAACGAATCTGTGTTTATAAAATATTTTTCTGTGGCATTAAGAATCGTCTGTAAGCTATATTCTATGTTATTCACTGATAATTTTCTATATGATTTTTTGTACTGTTAAGTATTTTATTAGTTTATTAAGTACAAACATACATAAAATAATTTTTTGGTGGCAAATAGGTGTACTGTCCGTAAATGGGTATGGTATCTGATGGTAAACGGTGACCGTAGCTTATATTGCTTTTTATAATGTTAGTATAGATAAGATTTTGTATATAATCGTGTTTAAGTCAAAAATTAACTCCTATTTAGGACATTCTGACTACTTATTTTATTATTTTTGCGGTGCCGTTGATGTCTATAAGCTAGCGTTACTTTCCATTTGGTAGGCCAATTGCTTGTTTCTCATTTTAATCTCATAAAGAGATTTTTTGAGAATTGTTTCTTTATAACACACCTACTCGTTAAATTATATTTAGACTAGAGATTATCTGTAGTATAATTATTATTTAGATGTTATACATATAAACTGTTATTTAAATTGATTTTTTTATACCCAAATTAAATCTTTAGATAAATATAATCTAAAGATGTTATATAGCTAATTTAAATTTTCGTTATTAACAATGTGACATGAGAACAAACATAATAAAAACGGCATTAAAATAATTCATAAGCCAGTCACGTCGCGACGGTAAATGCCTCTGACTATACCATCTAGGATAATATTTTTTTTCATGAATACTAAATAAATAATTTTAACATATTTATTTACCGTTAATGAAATAATAATAATAATGAAATATTATTAATATTATTCATGAAAATGATAAATATTTTGTTAATTTGTTAGGCATTTACGTACGTGATATTATAGGCATATAATGTCGCCATCACGTAAAAAATAGGTAGATATAATATTGATATAAAATGTAGGTATATTATATTTTATACATGGTGTTTCAAATAGTACAATCTTATAAACGCCACTAAGTGCCACAAAACTATGTATGTTACACAATAATTGAAATCCAGCGCTTTAAGTGAATTAAAAATAAATAATTCAATATACCTACAACTCAATTACAAAAGCGAACCAACACAAAGCTATTATTCGACAAATAAAAATACCATTAACCTTCGCGAAATATAAAAATTCAATGTGACAGATGGTCAAAAGCCCACATACATAATAATTCCATTATATTGGGGAGTTTTTTGACACGACCATTGAAATAGGTCAACAAATAGAGCTTCACAATAGATTTGCCGAATGTTCGGTCGCGAAATGACGATTTGTACCGGTATTGTGTAAAATTTCATTGGAATAAATTAGTGTGAGAATTTATTTTGAATAAAACATACAATATGTTTAATCTAGCTACGCCCGCGGTTTCACATGAAATTTATAGCTTATATGTTATTCTGATGGATAAGCTATATTACTGTACAATTTCATTAAAATCCGTTCTGTAGTTTTTGCGTGAAAGAGTAACAAACATCCATCCATACATCTATCCATACTCACTAACTTTCGTATTTTTATTATTAGTAAGATTTAGTCACTTCTGATAGTAGTTTTATTTCAACTTGTATCTAATACTAGATGACCCGCGCAACTTCGACTGCCGTCATATTTTGCTGACAATTCCGCTCCGATTAATCATACCGTGATATACTATATTGCCTCTAGACTGCCTCGATAAATGAACTATCTAAGAATAAAGAATTTTTAAAATCGGATTAGGAGTAGCTACCAGAGTTTATCCGGAATATCCAAACGCAGAAACTTTACCTCTTTATAATATTTAGTATGGATAATCTTCTACAATACAAATTTAAAAATAAATATGTTATGTATAAATAATCATTATTTGTTAGGAGTTCCAAATGAAACTCATATTGCCTCTACTAACGGAATCTGATCATCCATAAATATGATTGATTCCAATTAATTTTCCAATAGCAAATAATCACAAAACAATTATATTAATAGTTCATTTATTAATGGAATTGTTTTGTCAATATACGAATATAAGAAATTAGACAACGAACATTTGGAAATTATACTAATTAAAAATATCTTAATATGTATTTATTTGTATAAATTCCTTACTTTAATTAACTTGAAAAATAAGTCGAATTCGTGTGTTAAAAAATCTAAAGTAATTAAGGTATCATTCAATGTATAGCACACAATAAATTGCTTTTTGATTGACACTACCAACAAGTTGAAAATCGGCGGACGAACAGCGAAATATTTTAAGGGATACAATAAAAACTGCTAAGTCACTGTAACCATAGAGATTGTGTAGATCATGTGGCGCTAACCATTATTGTTTTAGGTCTCATGGCGCCAAACATATGGTGCTTAACGTCTTAGGGATATTTCAATAAAATGTTTACGATTGCTACAAACGAAAAAAAGTGAGCAGTAAAAGATTTTTTCCTTCAATTGGATCGTAAACTCGAGAGTCACTGTAAGTTTAAGTAAACTGTTGACATTATTGCTATTTTCTTTTGATTTTTTACAAATCTGCGATTAGAAATGTCATTTAAATAATATGTAACATAATGTAAAAGAAGTACTTCCTTTACATTGCTAAACATTGTGCATAAAATAGTCAAACACACGCAAAACAATAAAACAAGAACCATCACAACATTCCAGCTATTGTGCAGACGCAATAAATGCCTAACAGTTAACGTTTCTTGGTTATAATAATTTTAGAAAGTAAAACCAAAATAAAGGATCTCAAACAATGAACTCTTCAATTGCCACTTCAAAGTATGCCTGCGAGTCACAAGTAACATAAAATCCAACAATGAGAATAAAAACGCTTAATTTATCTTTATAATACTTTTACTACCGTTCCACTCTTTTGAACAACTACTAAACATTTGTTATTTTAATAAGTGAATAAACATGAAACTACTAGACACTTGATTGTTGAATATCATAGACATTTATAATTATCTTAATTTCGTATTATATTTCAATAAGTTTTTTGACTTCATAAATATAAATTCATAAGGATTAAAATAAATGCTTCAATTAATAGAAATATTTTCGTAATTATTTAAATTTTCTGTTTAAATATAATGTAAATACTTTTTTATTAACTTGATTAGGATATCTTATAAATATACAAAGTTTATTCATATCAAAGGCAACAGTTGTTTATTATTAAAATCTCGACGATACAGCCTATACTAATTTAAAAATTCATCAATCATTTCTCAAAGATACGCAATTGCCGCCCAGGGCTAAGAATCTTTACCTGAGAGCGATGAAAAAATCAGTAGAAAAAAAGGTGACAATAACTACAACATGCCAGTAAACTACTAAGACATCTCAATTTATTGAGTCTACTTCACAATCGTCCACAGGATCTAAAGGAATCAATTTGTTCTTGGAAGTATCCTCAAGCGATTTGGTGACAAAAGTTTTGAACTCAATTATCTTCAACACCGCCTATTTATGACTTTATCAAAAGCTTTTGATGCTACCGTCTCGGCTTGAGCATTAAATGAGGTTTTAGAAACACGAACTGTAACAAAGTTAAAATAAAAGTAGAATATTTAAGTTTGATTCTATCAGAGACGCTTCATTGGCGACCGATCCTCCGCGTTCCCAGTCAACATTCCTGCATTCGGTATAAGGTTATAATTCAACTGGTGACGGCATGTGATACCTATCTGGACAGCCATTGAAGGTATCAGACTTGACAAGTCACTCTGCACTAAATTTTCAAGTTCATAAAGTGTGAACAGTTAAGTATAAATTATACGCAGTGAAGACAAACATTTTCAACGGTTCATATCCTTTGAGAATTGTGACTTCTAAGAAATATAGATGGTTATCAAGTTTGAGTTTCGGCACCGCTAACGAAGGTCGGTTTGGATACCTGTTTGTTTTTTCATTCGCATCCTCTGAATTGTCAGCGAAGCACCCACGTCTCATGATGTTAAAAGAAGATAACATAATAATCGATGACCAAGACATTATTGTCATCGAAGTTTATGTCAAATATAGTTTTGACTTCCTCCACGAAGATTGGCTGTTCACAACCAAATAGTAATAGGTTCTATAGACATGAATCATATTCAAATTAAGTGGTTACTATACCATAACAACCCATTAACATCCCACTGTAGGGCACTGATCTCTGGTCATAAGAATGGCCTTATATTGTTATTACTACACTATACAATTTTATTTATTCTTAAATCGTTTACAGTTATAATCTTCCTTAACGGTTTTGGACAATATACTCAGATTTACAAACAACAACATTTAAGAGACCTATTAGATTTATACGTAATGTTTGACTGTGAAAGTATTGTCTAAAATTTCTGCGTAATAGCTTGAAGCAAGTGATATTACAGTAAACAGTTTGTAGGGATAGAAAACGTTTATAATGAAGCCTGAGACGAAACTACGGGGCGAGGGAGAAATGTGTTCGTCCCGAAGATCCAATTACAATAATTGTACTCTAATAACATGTAGGTACTGTTACTAATAAGATGAGAGTATTGGATATGCTTACTACTTGTAGTCTTACAGTTACCTCTTTATCTTCCAGTATTACAAAAGGGTCTACAAAAAATATGATAAACGCTATCTTTATAATCCCGCGTGTCCGTTGTTTAGCTACCCCAGCACATATGTCGCACAAGTTAACGCTCTTTTGTAAACCGTATCAAAATTAAGATAATGTACATTGTCCGTTCAAATTTATACTTTATTATTAGCTTGGGCCCTACAGCTGTCGTGTTTTGTTGTATTTTTTGTGGCCAAGTGGGCAGTGACCGTTGGTTATA